GTTCAAACAATATTAGTTTTAATGAAAAATTGATGGAGAATCTCAGAAATTACCTGAAAATAAAAGCCTTAACGAACATTCAAACCAAAGCTATACCAAAAGTGTATGACAGTCATCATGTGTTGATTGCTGCAGAAACTGGATGTGGGAAAACACTCGCCTATATGTTACCCATTTTACAACAGATTATTGAACGAAAGCGGGCGCAAGCGGAGAATAGCATTCGAAAGTTCAATACGCCGTGGGCTGTCATCATTACACCTGGCCGTGAACTGGCAGTCCAAATAGGCACTGTAGCTGAAAAACTATGCCAGCACTCAGATTTCCAAATCAAAACGATTCTTGGCGGAAACACAAAGCGCTTAATGGTCAACCCCGAATTTGCGGATGTTGACGTTCTAGTTTCCACAGTGGGTGCTCTCAGCAAACTTGTAACAACCGGTATATATCGCATGGAAGAAGTGCGACATGTAGTGTTAGATGAAGCTGATACTTTGTTAGACGACAGCTTCTCCGACAAACTTGGATATTTTCTGAGACGTTTTCCTGTATGAAATTTTTAATGATTTTTTTTTTTAATATATTAACAAAAATGTATATACCCGTAGTTTCACAAAAATCACACACAGGATGAACATAATATCGGCACGCAACTGATATTGGCGTCTGCGACGATGCCTACAAACACAGAAGAAATATTACAAAAAGTAATAGATATACAGACGCTGCACGAAGTTTCGAGCCCGAATTTGCACAAGTTGATGCCACATGTAGAGCAACGATTTATGCGGATTTCGAAGCAAAGTCGGCCCTCCAATTTGATCAATTTAGTCAAAAAAGATATCGCTAAAAAGCATCCTGTCATTGTGTTCAGCAATAAATCGGCCACAAGTGATTTTGTAGATATATTTCTTAATAACAATGGTGTGCGAAGCGTAAATTTAAACGGCGATATGCTTATGAAAATACGTATTGGACGCTTTGAACAATTCCAAAACGGAAAGTATGATGTTCTATCGACTACGGATATTGGTAGCCGTGGACTAGACACTACAAGCGCACGACATGTAATCAATTTCGATTTTCCGTTGCACGTATCTGATTACATACATCGCTGCGGGCGTATTGGACGTGTAGGTGATTTGACACCATCTCTAGTTACGAATTTCATATCCTCACGGCGCGAGGTAGAAGTAGTACAGAGAATTGAACATGCGGCTCGAACGGGCGGTCTTCTACCGAACGTTAATGCGAACATAAAAAATATAATAAATAAACGAATATTGAAGGATATGCAAGCAGCGGGAATAAAGGTTCCAGAAGAGGAAGTATTTTAGGTTTACATTGATTTACATATTCTCCGAAAGAAAAGTTTTAATTTTTAACAAATTCAGTGTATTAAAACATTACATAACTTAATAATAAAATGTTTATATTCTTACATAATAGTAACTACTGAGTGGTACAATACGACGCTCGTTCGTTAACGGTTTATATAGCTTTCGTCGGGCTATAAGAATATCGTTATGTCCACTTAAAATTCCTAATGATTTAGATTCCGAAGCTGAAATTGCAGAATTTGTGGGCATCTTAGACTTAATTATTACTGGCCGACAGCCTGCAAACTTGAATCGTATATTACCAGCACGATTCATTTGTAGATTCGGTGATACCAAATCCGGAAAGACCTCTTTTATTTTTGGCTTGGGCTTCAATGCTTTGTTTGGATCATCCCCATGACACATAGCCGCAGCCAAAGCATTCCATTCTAAGCGACGTACTCCTGGTTTAGAGTATATTTTAAATGTGCCCAGCTTGCGCCGCAGAAAGCGTGTCGTTAAGAACTTCTCAAAATATCCTATGGTAGCAAAAGTTAATAAACATAAACATATTATGAAGAATACATACTTACGCGCATAATATAGTAAAAAGGGCTGTAATTGGTCTGCTCCACATAAATATTCTAGCCACTCATATAAAAAAATGTCATCAGGTCCCTTAATAAACACAGCGCTAAGCTTTAAGTATAAATATTTATAAATTACCAATAAAAGCAAAATGTATTGATCTAATCGAATTACCGAAAATTCGTTCCTATAACTTTCAGGTACATCATCTACGTTGAATTCGTAAATGAATGGTATGAATTCACGAAAAGCGAACTCACCCAAAGCGATCAAACCACGCACAGCACGACTTATGTATCGAAAATCTGTAGTAAAAAAAAATAATAATTTATATTACTAAAAATTAATTGATATTTTCTTTTCTAAATTCACCTCTTTCTATTGACACACTGCGACCTTTGAAAAATCGTTGTAATCTTCTCGTTATATGAAATATGCACTCCTTTTGGAAGTAACCATTTGAAGTTGCCAAATGACCTATTGTATCACACAAATCATCTACATGTTTCCAATCAACAGGACTGGCAAAATAAGGGGATACTTCAGGACTCATTTCAATATCACCATCTTGTTCATCATCAGTTTGCAATTTATATACCTTCTCTTCATTCGTATTTTGAATATTAAATATATCTGACTGGTCGATAAATTCTGACTTTACTTCCATTTTATCTTCAGCCTTTACTTCTTCTATTTCAATTTTTATGCTAGCACTGTTGCTTTGCTCCCCTGATTTAGAGTTCGGATGTATTTTTATGCTCTCATATGGGGCAAGCAGTTGTGATATAAGTATCTCAGATAAATGAAAATATTCCACACGTAGGTTTTGCAAGCGAGAATGTGTATTACACGAGCAGGCGCGAAGTAGACGCCAACAGCGCAAACTGATATCCTCATTTTGTTTAAAAGCCAATATTTGTATTAACTTAGAAAGAATAACACGACAGCAAGCACCAAGAAGGGGAGAAAAAGCCGCTTCTGAGAGAGCGAAATCTAGTTCATCTTCATTCCCATAAAGCAAGACTTTAATATAAAAATTAAATTAGAATTAGAAATAAAATAATCAAATTCTTTACCCTTAATCAAACTGGGAATAAATTTTTTAATCTGTTCATTTTGTTTGTCATCAATGGGCCAGGTGCATTCATAATCTGGACCATCTGTGATTTTCATGCTAACTTCTTTCTGATATTCATCCCGCAGCTCTATAATTTTATCCTAAAACAAAGAAAAAACGTCAACTTCGGTTCCACCGTACTAATAATACGCTTCACAAATACAAAAGATTCCATACAAGAACTTGATTTTGTCAATTTTGGAGATTGTATCGTTGCCTTGGACAATAATCCATCCCAAATTTCGTGAAAATATCTTGTCAAATAAAAAAGTTTTTCATACAAGTACTGGATATTGATTGACCAGTTTGTATGGGAGCTGTTTTTTGAAAAGAAAAGAACGTGTGCAAAATTTCAGATCGATACCCCACAAACTAATTGACTAGTTCGCCTATATACACACAAACAGACGGACATAGCTAAATCAACTTAGCTCGCCATGCTGATCATTTTTATGCAATAATATTCATAGGGTCTCGAATGTTTCTTTATGGGTATTACAAATGTCGTGGCAAATTTTATATACCCTGTTCAGGGTATAAAAATAAAATTTGAATACAAAAATTCCCCAAATCATTTATGAATTTACCGAATAAAAGAAGTAACTGCCATCGTAGTCAATGCGATCCCATTCGCTATCTATTGCACCTAATGCAGGCGGTACATCAGCATCAGTCAATACCTCATTTACCAAATCGTATGTAACGGTGCCGCCAGAATGCCGTGCATATGTTTTAATATTCTTTAATTTAAATATAAAAATACTCTTTAAAAATTAGCAAAAACAAAATAGAGGAATTTTAAAGATACTTACATTCACCAATTCCCATAATTTATAGGAAACATCTTCAGCGACACGAGCACATACTTCTGTTGATAATTCTAAATCACTCTGATCATGTTGCTCCCAAATAATTTTCACCGAGCGCCCTTCTAGTCCAGCATAACTTTTTGCGTGATTCTATTCAACCATTTTAAACAAATATTTTATTAACAGAATCTATGAAAATTCACATAACCACTTACCCTGAAATTGCTATTGGCGTCCGTGCCACAACCGCCACCGTTTGTAATGGTATTTAAAGATGAATCAAATAAATGACTAGGATTGCTGGTAGTAGGCGTAGTTGGTGTAGATATAATATTGTTCGATAAAATATTTGTTTGGTTGTTACCAAGACTGGTCGAATTTTTAAGACCGCTGCCACTGGTACCGGTTGTGTCAGATTTGGATGTTTTTGTACGAGATTTAGTGGCCTTTTTGCTGGATTTACTTGCCGGTGTTTTTGCAGACTCTTCTGCCGAATTAGAATTACTAGCCTTCATTATGGACTTTTCTTCCAAGCACTAATTAAATATAGTCATCACATAACTTTCAAATAAAATTATATACAACTAAAGAAGTGAGTCGCAAAAAAGAAGGATATCGGTTTTTATTAAACGATACGTGCCTTATTTTATCGTTTCAAATTTTCCATACGAGGGTAGGTGAGGTTATATGAAATAATTCATTAAATTTTTTTTTTGATAATTATTTACGTGAGTAATTAAAAATAATTTACAAGCAAAACAAAAAACGAAAATAAACTAAATTTACAGATTTGTGATCTTCGCGTCAAAGTAAGACGATTTAAGAAATATATATAATTTTCACCCTCCTTCGTTGGGGGACCTAAACTATACATTTACCAAAAAAATTATGTTCTCTGGTGACATTTGACTTTTTCCACCATAAGTATTTCATAAAAAGTATGATTGCTGAGCCATACATTAGGAAATTTATTGGAACCCCATAATTTAGTTTTATATAAATTGTTCTAATTGATGTTAAGTCTCATATTTTAAAAATATAATAAAAAAACCGAGCAGAGAAATAACCAATCGAAGACAGCTATTTTTTTATATACTCAGTTTATCGGTTCAAAGCATTCACTAAATTATTCTTATGTTATCGCTAAACTCATTTCTCAAAATCAGCTGTTTTGATTAGAAACAGTTGTGTTATACGCAGTCATCCTTGACGCAGTTCCGATATATGTATTTATAAATAAATCCTTAAAGCAAATAAAATGTCGGAGAGTGCCAATTTACGACAAAATTTACAAAATGTTCCATCAATATTTGAGATAAGTGCCGCTGAAACTCTGGATTCTCTTATCTATCCAGCACTTAGTAAAATATTTGATTACCTTAATTTTGGAGTGGACTTCAACCTTTTCGGTGTTAACATGGTAAAAGGAGAGGTGTCAGCTATATTGACATGGGTGCTCCAATATTTATATTTGCGCAACAGAGACTCTTCATTTGGAGAAAGTTTCTATGGTTTGCAGCGAACAGGCATTACATCAGGCGAATTAATGACGAGGCAGCAGAAAGTGTTATCTGCTAGTATCTTAACACTAATGCCAGTTTTAGAGCAGAAGTTAAAAACACGTAGTGCTCATCACGAAGATATTTCAATTTGGGAACGACAATTGCTTTATGCTCTTCGTGCGTACCATGCTTCTAAAGCGATACACACCTTCCTATATCTAATAAAATATGCCGGAAGCCACTCTCCTATTTTTCAAGCATTAAATTTATCATTGAGATACCCTAACGAACCACCAAAAGACGATAAGACCACATATGTGTTTCTTAAGTTACTCGAATTTTTTGCTTTCTTTCTCCAATTCATACAATGGTGGTATTCTAACGATCAGCGGCGCAAAATAGGAGGAACCTTAAAAAATCCAGAGCCATTTAAAAATAAGCCTAACGTGTCAAGAGAGAATACACTACCAAAAGGTGATTGCCCGGTGTGTCTCATGAAAATTCAAACACCCACCGCGTGCAGCATATCTGGATACGTATTCTGCTGGAAATGTATAATTTCCCACTTGAAAGAACGTTCTACTTGTCCAGTTACTGGATACAAAATAACACTTGATGACTTAGTTCGAATTTACGAAATATGATATTATATTAATCTCTATTGCTTATCACGCATTAACGAATTTAAGCAATAAATTTGATATACAGTAGGCTTTAGTGTTACTGTTTTCGTGGCTGTGGTTTGAATGTACCTACAGTGTTTGCTCAAAAACAAAAAGACAATAAAGGATATTTAATATAATATCTCAGTTAGATTTATTATTGCTATCTACTTATATGATTTTAGCACTAAAAATGTTTTGAGCAAAATATAACATACCAAGCACGTACATACATATGTATGTGCACTGTTTTGAGCGTACATTAATTTGTTTATTATTTATAATTCACTTCTAACCTTTGTGTAAAAAATAAGTTTTTCATTTGTAAAGTTAAGTAATCTTTTGACTTAATATATGCATATGTATACTTGCACTTAAGGTGCCGGAATAAAAAAAGATATATACTATTGCAATTGTAACAATTAATTAAAATTGAGATAAGTAAAGCCCTCGTTCCCAGTCAAAGGTAACGTGCATAGCATGGAAATCCCAGTATGCAGTCATATGATAAGCCATATTTGTTAGCACAACGACATACTCGAAAAGAGCAAAAAATGTGTAAACTAAATAAAAAGATACAAAGTACATTTGTTATTTGATGATATTTCATTCATATTATAACTTACCTCCTGGCTCACAAGACGAATTGTGCCGCAAAAAGCAGTAACCAGCCAAAATAAAAGCAGTTACATTAGTTATAAAAAAATTTCTTTTGTACAACAGTGATTTCTCTTCAATTGGCAAGAGCGATATCTTACGTCCGTTTTTGTTGAGAAAGTAAGATATAAGCATATACATTTCACTGCAGGCAATAAAAACAACGAAAGAATTTCGATGTATCGGATAATTATCTAACGATGTCCACAATGACAGACTTAGAAGCGCGAAATTCTCCACCAGATTTAGCAAGCATGCAAAAATAGCATATACACGTCGATTACGCCTTATTGTATCCTTATAGTATTGCATGTACATTTTGACAACAGCTATTCGAAAGGGTAATTGCATTGTAATCGCCAAACGCCAAACGGTTTTTTGTGGTTCGTAATTTCCAATGGCTGCCGATATTGAGGGTAAATAGTTAGGTACATCACAGTGCGTTGATGTTGAACGTTCAAATTCAAAGATTACCGACCAAATTACACAAAATGCAAAACTGCCAAGTGGCAGACTCACAACTGCAAAAGCAATTCTTCCAAAAGGAACGCGAAATAAAGGTTTTGGACCATCCAATCGGGTATATGTGGTTAATGTTGGTAACATATCTTAAAATAGTTTTGTCACAGTTTTGTCTACTTAATAATTAACATCGTACATGAATATATTAACACCCTATTTTTTCCACGCCCTCAATATGAAGACATTTTTGCTTCAATCGACTTGAATTAGCACCCAAATCAGCTGAGGAGTTTGACAACTTCTTATTTATTGATTTTGGTAAACAAAAATAATATATATGAATCGATAGTTCGATTATTTATTGATGTTCGATGTATTTTTCATCGAAAAATAATCGACATTGCTGTTAACAATTTTAGGGTCCAAATTTATTATCTTTATATTGTGACGAACACGGATGATAGAACAAAATCGAATCAACGATAAACTGCCAGAAGCAGCTAGTTAGCGAATTCGTAGTTGCCAGAATGTTCTAGAAGTAATGTTTTGTTACAGATTCACTATATAAGGGCTGCCGGATTGTGCAGCAAACACAGTTCTAGTTAGAGTGTTGTCGTGATAAGAACAATTGAGACATAAGCAAGAAGTTGTAAGCTCGAATAACGAGCAATAAGTGTTAAGTTGTTGGAGTTAGAAATATAGATAAGTGTGTAGCCATTAAATTGGGGAGTTTATCGAGAAATCCGTTACAATTGGTGTCAGAAGTGGGATTGTCAAATAAATTCCCAAAGAGAGAATTGTTTGAAAATGGCCAAGTTTAACGATCTGAAGATTCCACAACTGAAAAAGGAGCTGCAAAAACGTGGCTTTGCAACAAAGGGAGTAAAGTCCAAATTACAGTCGCGGTTAAGAAGAGCCATGGAAGCAAAGAACAATAATGTTGAGGAATATGTCTGTCAATCGGAATTAGAGGAAGAGACAACAAAGAAACAAGATAAGGAAGTGACTCAATATTCAGTAGAGGTTATTTATACTGCGTTGGAATCCTTCTTTGAAAGTTTTTCAGCACAGTTGTCAGCACCGAAAGAGCTCGACGTGCATATGTCAGCGCAGGTATCTTCACAGTTGGAAGAGGAGGAAGCATGTGAACCAGGATCTTCACAGAATAAAGAGCAAGAAGCTTGTATACCAGCACAAGTGTCTTCGCAGTCGAAAGAACTGAACGGGCGCATGCCAGCGCAGGTGTCCTCACAGTCGGAAGAGGAGGAAGTGTGTGTACCAGTACAAGGGTCCTCACAGTCGAAACAGCTGGAACTGCGTATGTCAGGGAAGGTGTTCTCACAGTTGGAAGAGGAGGAAGCGTGTGAACCAGTAAAAGGTTCCTCACAGGTAGAAGAGCAAGAAGCTTGGATACCAGCACAAGTGTCCTTACAGTTGGAAGAGCAAGAAGCGTGTATACCATCACAGGTGGAAGATCACCATAAAATTGAACCTGAAACGGATGACTCTGTGCAAGAAGATCCAGAATTGGAAGGTGCATTACATAAGGTGGAGTTGAACCAATGTACAACGATTGGAGAAATAACTACAGGAAAGCCAGTCACAAAATCATATTGGGCAGAACGGAGCAGTTTAAAGTTAGTGTATGGCTGCTTGCATCGAGTATGGAAAAGCGAAAATGGGCAAACCTTCCGAGGACTTATGGTTGTTCCAAGGGTTGGAATTCCTGATGTTCTTAACGTGCAGTACAAATGTCCAAGAGGAGGGCACTTGAGAGACATGAAATCCTTGGAGCATTCGAAGCAAAGGTTTTATTGGACTGGTTGTCAATCAGCTATAGAAAGGATTGCGAAATATGCTGAGAACATTGTAGCTAAAGGATCAAAGTCCAGGAGTCATGGGCAGATGAAACAGCACAATACGCGTGCGGCAGTTGAGAAAATAGGCGTGTATGAAGATGGTCCATTCCCCACCAATAAATTAGGAAATAGTCATGTTTTGGTAGTCAAGGACCATTTCAACGAATGGCCACAAGTATACACAATTCCTAACCAAGAGACTGAACCAGTGGCGGAGGCATTCATCAACAAGTGGGTAACGAGATTCGGTGTTCCAATGGAGTTACGTTCTGATCAAGAATGGAATCTCGAGTCAGCTTTAAATCAAGGGATGTACCAGAAACTGAGTATCCGGAAATCAGACTTAGGTGGAGGGCAGTGTGACGAACACGGATGATAGAACAAAATCGAATCAACGACAAACTGCCAATAGCAGCTAGTTAGCGAATTCGTAGTTGCCAGAATGTTCTAGAAGCAATGTTTTGTTAGAGATTTACTATATAAGGGCTGCCGGATTGTGCAGCAAACACAGTTCTAGTTAGAGTGTTGTCGTGATAAGAGCAATCAAGCTATAAGCAAGAAGTTGTAAGCTCGAATAACGAGCAATAAGTGTTAAGTTGTTGGAATTAGAAATAAAGATAAGTGTTTAGCCATTAAATTGGGACTTTTATTTAACAATCCAGTGATCGAACTCAAGAGTGAGTTACAGGTAGACGATTTATCGAGAAATCCGGTACAATATTGTGACGAATATGGATGATGACAAAATCGAACCGACGATAAAATTGGCCAGAAGCAACTAGACAGCGAATTCGTAGTTGCCAGAATGTACTCGATTAGTTTTATTAAAGATGTACTATATAAGGGCTGCCAAATTGTGCAGCACATACAGTTCATAAGAAGTTGTAAACTCGAATAGCGAGCAATAAGTGTTAAGTTATTGGAATTAGAAATAAAGATAAGTGTATAGCATTAAATTGGGACTTTTATTTAACAATCCAGTGATCGAACTCAAGAGTGAGTTACAAGGTAAACGATTTATCGAGAAATCCGTTACAATATTTAATCGTACAAGTTCAATCTTAATCCATAGTCAAGTCAAGGATGACATGATACGAGACTCTCTCATTTGCCCTAATATTTCTGGGAAACGAAATTTTAAGGAACGATACAAATACTTTTGAATAACGTGCAACCAAAATTTTTTTTGCTAATTTAATTTAAAACGTTAATCATAAAATCATTATGTTGTTGTTGTAGTGGCAGAATTTTTTCGAGTTGACAGTCCTAGGCCGGAAAAAATTTGGGTCCGTTCCGGTTACTTAGACCCGACTGTTATGGGAACGGATAAAATCATTATATTTTATTATGACTTGTATTGTTTCTTTGTTATAGTTTTTTTATTTATATATTATTTTGTTACGTTATATAATTTCAAAAAAATTGTATAATATGGATATTTGCGTGATATAGACTCACTCGGAAACCGAGCATTTAAAAATAATATCGAAATGCAAAATACACAAAAGGTATTTTTAAAATACCCAATTTATTTTCTTTCGACAGTGGCATGATTGACAATGTTATAAATGTAATAAAAAATATTTGGTAGATGTATAGTTTAAGTCAGAGATAAAGTTTGGGTTTCCCAAAAAAAGGAGCTCCAAAAATTGTTTTTTTTTCTTAAATCGTCTTATTTTGAGGCGAAAATTACAAATCGGTGAGGAACAAGTGAATTTTTTTAAATAATTTATTCACATTTTTTTAAATAATTTATTCACATGTAAGTATGTATAAAAATATATTTAACACACTTTGCTCATATTTTTCCAAGTACCTTATTTGTTGTTGTTGTTGTTGTAACGGCAGAATTCTGTAGAATTCACCTAAAATTTGTTTGTATCACCCAAAACTATTCGCGTTAGGTATAGGCTTATGTCTATATAACTGATAAGGGTGACGAGACGAATTGAAATCCGAGTGACTGTCTGTCCGTCCGTCTGTTTGTGCATGCGATAACTTGAGTAAAAATTGAAATATCTTAATGAAACTTGGTACCCAAGAAGGGGTGGTATTGCAGATTGGCGTAATCGGGCCACTGCCACGCCCTCAAAATCGCAATCTAAAAAGTGCCATAACTAAGCTCCAAATGAAGATACTTCTGCTCAAATATAAACGAGACTGGCTCAATAAAACAAAAACGGTTAAATATTCTTCAATATTTATTTTATCCCCTTCAAAATAGTCACCATTAGAGGCGATACACATATGCCACCTTTTTTTCCAATCTTCATAACACTTCTGGTAGGCCGCTTTAGGTATGGCTTTCAGTTCCTTCTTCGAATTCTCCTTTATGACTTCAATCGACTGAAAATGCTTTCCACGAAGCGGCAATTTGAGTTTAGGGAAAAGAAAAAAGTCACACGGTGCCATGTCGGGTGAATACGGTGCTTGCGGAACAATATTTACGTTGTTTTTGGTCATATAATCGCGTACAAGACGAGACGTATGAGCTGGCGCAAGGAACAAGTCGAGCAGACACACGTCTCATGCCCAAAACATCGTGAATAATGCTATGAGCGGATCCATTTAATATGTTGAGCTCACTAGCTATCTCTTCTTTACTTTTTCGACGTTTTCTTCGTTTATTGACGTTGCTGGACGACGATCATGGGGCAAGTTCTCCAGCGATGTACGGCCGTCCTTGAACGACTTACCAATCAAAAATACGTGAATGTGATAGGCAAGACTCCCCATATGCCTTCTGCAACATTTTCATTGCGTCCGTCGCACTTATTCCATTGGAATAACAAAATTTCAAACAAACACTTTTTGCTCAACGTTAATTTCCATAGTAAAATTCGAAAAACACACTCGAGGTTGACTTGTTTATAGTGCCGTAAAAAAAAAACTATGTGAGAGATCGCGCTCAAATTTGACATGTAAACATATAACAGTCCTTCCAACCTAAGCAAAAAAAAGTATGGCCATATGTCATGTCCTTGTCGAGTTATGAATAAAGTCTCGTTTATATTTGAGCAGGAGTATAACTGGAATTTTGTACAGGGGGACCACAGAGGAGCACCTGAGCTGAAAAATAAAAAAAAGAAGGCGTGGTTCTCCCCTTAATAGGTTTACTGTGTATTTCTCACAAACCTCTAAGGATATATCCAATAGGGTTGATTAGCATCTCCTCAAACGGTGTGAAAATTGGTGAAATCGGATAGTGACCACTCCCACTCCACAAATAACTGTTGAAAACTACTGAATGCGCGATAACTTATTAAGTAAATACGCCAGAAGCATTAAATTTCACATCCTATATAGTTCGGAAGGGAATAATATTGACCCGTCCAAAACTTGACAATGGGAGTGGCACCGCCGGAGAAATTCTATATCCCAGGACCTAATCCATCAATTCCAGCCAAATTTGGTTCAAACCATTCTCCTGATATACGTCTACTTCCTATATAACACAATTATAAATTCTATCTGATTCTTTCACTTTCTAGTACACAAATAAAGATACAATGAATGTATCGGGATAAAACTTTGCACATATAGTGCCTTTAAGGTTTTTCTTTTCATGTCTAAAAATTGCAAAATCGGACTCAAAATTGTTGAACTGCCCAGATATAAAAATGCACCCCAATATGTATTTTTACTGAAAATATCAGACAATCTGTGAAATATATTACTGAAACTCGTAGAGAATATTTTTCTGATAATACGTTACCGGTCTGTCCAATTTGGGTAGAATCGGGTCATAACTGCCTTTAGCCCTCATATATATTTTGACGAACACGACGCGACCAAAACAGAATCGGCGATAAATTACCACAATTAACCAGACAGTGAAATTCGTAGTTGCCAGAATGTTCAAGTGACGATGTTTTGGCAGAAAATGTGGATTTACTAATCTGCGTTCTCTGAACCTTCTCTATAATTCTACGCTCTCTGCCTTCTTATAATATACGTTCTCTGTCGCAATTATTATCGTTTTCATGTTTTGCTTTTCTCTATATTCTTATTTCCATTGCAGAGAGAAACGAATTTAGAACGCAAAAATACTTTAAGGAAAAGTACTGGATTTAATATAAATTAAAATATTAGAAAAAAAGAATTATTGTATAACATAAACTTTAATTTTAAATACGTTAGACTGCTATAAGCTACGGAAGAGATGACTATTTTAACGAAACCATCCAATGAGAAAAAAGGGGAGAAGGTACCACTGCCATTGGCTTTGGGTGGCCATGACGATGCATCATCATTCCGAGGAGGGGCAGCACACGGAAACCTTTTGGGTGTAAGTTCAGTTACTTTTTTTCTTTCTTATTTTGTACTTTTCGGTTAATTACAGCTAAGTAAAAAATTTGTGTTTTAAATGCTAATTACATATGGATGTGTATGTAAAGGGCACAAAATTAAATAAGTATTTATTTTAAATTTTGTATTATACAACAAACACAAGAGTTAACCTTCCAATTATTGTATTTCAAGTAAACAACAACATAACGCTATGTGATATTGGAGTTTTTTTCATTCTACATGCATACATACATATGTATGAACATGTTGTAGTTGCCATTTCGTCCTTTATAGTAGTGATACTTATTGATTTTCCTAATATAATTTTTTATTTTTAATATTATTTTAAAGAAATCCATACAAGTATTGGCAACAAAAAACTACTGTATCCCAACCCACAATGTAAGCAATTATATTGTTCCTAATATATCGAACAAATATTATTAATATTTTTCATATATGAAATTTTCGTACATATATGCAAGCTATTAGTCGAATTCATGCTACCACCTTTATACAAGTACGGGTATAAACATATTTACAACTCTACATGTTTGTATGTGAAACGGCTTGCCCAATATTTCAAATGCATTAGAAATATTCCTACATAAAAAAAAATAAAAATGAAAAGAAATGCCGTTAATAAAAATACACTGCACTAAATATGCTCAAAGTAATTAAAATAATAATATAATATTAAATTTTTATATGAATATTATTAACACAGGCTCACTATCAGGGAGACATAGATGGCGAATCTATGGTCTTCAATCGCCCACCCTCATGCATCAAAACTGTGTTGTTATTTCTAATTGCTGTCGTAGTCATGATGATGGGCCTACTTGGTGGATTTACTCTATATCGCGCTTATGCACCCACTACTTCGAATTTACATTACCGTGCACTTTGCGATATTCCATATATGCAGACTGGTAATATAACTATACCGCGTCTATATGAAGAACATGATGAGCTAGATTGGCGTAACCTCTTTTCGCGTTTTACAAACTACAACGGGAATAACGACTTGAGTGATGATTTCTTCCGTGAGGAAATCGATGTGGATATGAGCGATTCTGAAAGTTTCGCAAGAATTGATGTACCCGATTTCAAAGATGGACGGCGGGGACGTTTTATGCATGATTTTAAAAAGAATCAATCGGCAATTATTGATACCACAGCAAATCGCTGTTTCATAATGCCACTTGACCGTGACACCACATTACCACCAAAGAGTTTTGTAGATTTAATGCAAAAGATGGGCTCGGGATACTACAACATCGACACTGATCGCGTACGTCGCAATATGCGTGTAGTTACCCCGCCAGTAACTGATCTCTCAATGATCTCAGAGCGAATTGCAAACGAATGCTATGATATGAGAGTTTACATGATGGAGAACTACGTTTCAGGAGGTTAGTATAATTGCTAATTTTTTATACTCTCGCAACATGTTGCACAGAGTATAATAGTTTTGGTCACCTAACGTGTGTTTGTACCATCCAAAACTAATCAAGATATATATAGGGTTATAGCTACATAAATGATCAGGGTGACAAGACGACTTGAAATTCGGGTGACTGTAAAAGTTAAGATATCTTTATGAAATTACATAGGTACATACGTTCTTGGTGCCCAAGGAGGGTTGGTATTGCAGATGGGCGTGATCGGATCACTGCCCCGCGCAAAAAAGGCCATTAAACGAAGCCGTTCCCATAACAGTCCGGTCTACGTAACCGGAACAGACCCAGATTTTTACCGGCCAAGGACTGTCAACTCGGCAAAATTCTGCCGCTACAACAACAACAACGAATCCCTATAAAGTGCCATAACTAAGCACAAAATAAAGACACAAAACTGTAATTTGGTACAAGGGATCGCAGTGGTGAAAGGCGCTTGGATGCTAAACAATTCATAAAAGTTTCACCAAATCTTCTCTTATTACTATTGTACACTATAGAAATAGGCTAAATCGGTTGACAACCACGCCTACTTCCCATATACTAAACTTTTAAATTCCTTCTGATTCTTTCACTTTTCAGTATTCAGATCAAACATCAATGAAGTTATTAAGGTAAAACTTTGCACAAATAGTTTCCTAAGGGTATTTAATCTTACGCCTAAAAATTGTCATAATCGGATTATACTTTTGAAAGTCGCAGACACCAAATATGTGGACACCAGTGCATATAGCAGATTTTTTTACCGAATATATCGGTTAGTCTGTGGATTCTATTATTGAAATTTGGGGAAATAATATTGTGATAACAGCATGCCTTTTTGTCAAAGATGGGCAAAATCGGGTCAATACTTCCTTAGCCCCCAAATACCTAATATATATATTGTCGAACATCCAGTTGAGTTTATACCGCTACTATCAGTCAATATGTAAGAAATCTTAATAAAATTCCGAAAGAATCTCTTTCTTATAATAGTGTATCTTCTTATCTGTAATTGTAAATAATGGATGGAATACTTCCTACTTTAAAATATAAACGAAAGTCACTTCACCTTGCGGAATATAAAATGTTCGGTTACACCCGAACTTAGGCTTTCCTTACTTGTAGTTATTACTTTCATTAAGTCATCATATATGTAAATACACACTTGCAAATCAAACTATTAAAATTTATATAATTTTCAGTATTTAAACGTGAAGCTATTCCTGTGGCAGAAACTGACAGGTTCACTGAATTCATGGGCAAAGGTGTCGTTGAATTTAATTTGATAAATATGAATGATATAGAGGAATTTGAACGCAAACAGCAGTAAAATCATTCAAAATTTGTGTAGAAATCTTATACGTTAATGCCGGTGCTTGCAAGCATTTTTGTAGAATGTAGTTTGTATGATTGTAAAACTTGATGTTGATAAATGGACGGCTATATTTAAATTTAATAACCGAAAACAAAATTTATTTTTCATATATAATTAATTACTCTTATTGTATATTTTTATTGCAAATTATTGTATGGAGGATATATGCAAAATATTTTATATAAATATATTTGATTTTTTTATTATTTCAAAATTATCATTACTAAAACATTGTATTCCATCGACTTGTATTAATTTTATTATTACTAAAAATATATGAAAATTAATCATGATTTTTTAGATAGATTAAAAATTGTATTTTATATATTAACATCCGACTTTATTATATTCACTTGCGTACATTTCTTAAATAAAATTGAAATAACAATCAAAAATGCATCAAGTTAAGCGATCAAGTATGGTTAACAAATTCAACAAAAACAAAAAGAAAATTTAATGACAAACAATTTGAGCATACAAACAAAGCAAAAGTATTGTATTTTAAAAAACCCGAAATATCAATTATTGTGCATAAGAAACAATTGCGTACCTAAAAGAAAATTAATTGTGACAAATATTAAAATCGTGTATGTATATCTCAACATGCATCTGTATGTAATAAACTCGCAGTTCGGCAGAAGTAACATCTGTTGGTATCAGGTGGTGGTATGTTCAGAAAATTAGTAGAGTCTTCAATAATATGACTACATCATAAAAATCAATACTAAACTTCATTGTCGCACTGGTTATACATTATAATTATTTCCTATTACAACTTTACAAAAGATTTTAAGTAGTAACATACTTTATATATTCCAATGTACTATAATAATTATTAAATAAAATATATTCGAATTTTTCTTGGTCAATTTTTAAACACAAATTATTTTACATAATTTTAAAAAAGTATTTATTATATTCGATTGTGATGCACTAGTTCCATTTTACATAATTTGAAAGTGCCCCTACATATATTTTATAATCTATGCATATGATTGTCAAGTTTTGAATCGTTTGGAACTATTACTAAAGAAAGCACTCTCGATTTTGAACAAAACAAGAAAATGAGTTGAACATATCAACATGATTGCTTTTTACGATTAGTTCGATATTTAATGACAACAAGATATACAATGAATAAAATTTTCAATGTTAATATATGATGTTAATAAAGGAAAATCCCCTTCAGTCATAATTTTTGAGTTTTTATTAATATTTTATAAATTTACGGATAGTTGCACTCAAATTTCTCATCGTAGTTGTGATGAGCGTAATGAGGTTGAGCTAAGTTATATTCGCCGGCTGTCACGCCTTACACATACCTACTGGTACTTAGTAATGTCAGATGGAATTGATGCTGAAGTATTCAAAGCAAAAACCATGCGTATTTTTTTGGGGCCCTTACACATGATCAGTACATATGCAATCACTTTCCGGCAGCCACTACTTCTACTGTATTCCTGCGTGTGCGTAATTATTTTGGTGTTTTCGGAGAAGTCATAATACCAATTATGCCTTGAAAACTTTTTAAGTAAAGAACCTAATGGATTAAATGTTTTTTTTTTAATTTATTTATTTTACTCAGTTTACTTAAAACTACTTAATATTAAATTATTATATATGTATTCAGCCTTACAAACATTAAATATATTTATATAAAAGGTTGGCACAGCGCCAATGTGTGATCCACTCCAAAAGCAACTTTTATTACTTTGCCGTTCACTGCTGCCTTAAAGGGGAAAAATTGATCTTTTTTATGGCCTAAGCCTAGATGGCCGAAACGATTCTTGCCCCACATAAAGAGATCCCCATCAGAGTTTATCGCACCCATATGAAAAACGCCACACCCAATAGACGTCACATGCGTTTTGTCACTGAAGTCATTGCGACCGAACAAAGGTGGCAATAATTGTTGTGGTTTCGAAGTTTGCTCCACATAAGGACCAAAGCCTAGTATACCGTAACCCCAAGTATATACAAGTCCATCCTCATTTAATAGCATGCAAAACGATCCGCCTGAAGCTATATCTTTAATCTTGCCAATGCCTTTAGTTAAGGATAATGCGCGTGGTGTATTGACTTGGGTATCGGCATTTTCACTACTATCTAGTTGCCCGTATTCAGAATTTCCCCAGCCAAATACTTCTCCTTTATCGTTTAAAGCTAAAACACAATCGGATGCGCATGCCAACTTTGTTATGCGTTGATCAATAATTTCACCTTTGGCTAATTCAATTTCACTACTCGTATCATAATGTCCTTTTCCCGTTTGACCATCTGCACCCCAACCACAAGTGTATACACAACCCAGTTTAGTTAGGAACATAGTGTGATCTTGACCACATTCCACAGAGATAATTTCATCATTTGGCATACAAATTTCATTTTCAGATAGCCGGTGTATAACCGCACTACCACGATAGTCCTCATTTTCAATTATAGCTCGTCCGCACTGACCATATGAATTGTTGCCCATAGTAAAAATGGTTCCATTTTGTGTAACTACGACCAAGTGTGCACGTCCAGCGGCCATGCAACGCACTTGCATATCTGGGTCAGTTTCATTTTCTAGCCTAGGAAGATTTATGGCGCTTGGGTAGATTATTACATCTAATTTAGATGTATCTTTTAGGCTGCCCTTAACTTGAAATCCCAACTGTGAATCAGTATTTAGTCCAGAGCCAAAGACAGTCTGACCATCGGATCGTTGAACTGCAAAAGCAGAGAACCCATAGCCGGCCGCAATGTCTATGACATCTGTGTTAACTGAAAACTGCATTCGCGTTGGATGGTGGACTATTTCTGTGTAGCGCTCTTTGGCTTTTCGAATGTTAGTTTGTAGCCCCAGAGCACCTGTCTCCTGAAACCCCCAAGCATAAACTCGACGCTGTTTTGGATCTGACACTTTGGGAGTATAAGCTGTAAAGGGAATTAAAAGCTATTTATATCGCTCGAAAAACCATTCTACTTACTCAAAACCTTTGATTTATCTTGCATTAAAACGCTTCGTTTTGTTTTAGTAGTGTATTGACGTTCTGACAGACGGTAAATTCTTGTTAAGTTTCGCAACATTTTTGTAATCGATTTAAGGATTATTTATTATGAAATTAAAAAAACGAGGAACCACTACACGAAAAAAACTAGTTTGAAAATTTTTATCACAGCTGTTTTCGAAGTGCGAACAGCTGTCCTGGGCATGCATGAAATCGTGTACATAGGTATATTAAGGTGGTTCCTTTTAGTAAAATTAGAGATATTCAAAGTAATTATTATATATATGCATGGAGATCAATCCATTTAATATATTCAAAAACTTACAGCAAGTATACATGAAAATACTTTATATCTACATCTGTACATCATAATATAAATTATAATTGGTACCACTCAATTGATTCTCATAGATAGATAGATAGATAGATTAGTTTTGAGGTATGCACCGCGACCTATGATCTATTGTGCCCTGTGCCAGCGGTGGACTATGAACTACCTGAGCGGTCGGCTTTCATCCGTACTGTTTCGAGGTCAAAACTCCAAACTTAGGAAAATTAAACAGGGGGTTCCGAAGAGCGGTGTCCTCTCCACACTACTGTTTAATTTTTATATATCGAAACTCCCCCAGCCACCAGCGGGAATTTCAGTGACCTCGTACGCTGATGACTGTACGATATTGACGTCGGGAAATGGAATCGATGGCATGTGTTCAAAAGTAAACAGCTACCTCTCCGATCTTTCTCGCTTCTTCTCTGCAAGGAACCTAACACTCTCTCCCACTAAATCCACAGCGACTATCTTCACAATTTGGACTAAGGAGTACAGATTGGACCTGAACATTTCAGTCGATGGCACAAAAATTCCGACAGTAAATAATCCTAAAATTTTAGGCGTCACTTTGGACAGTCTGTGCTCTTTCACTCCTCACACGACCGCGATAACTGCCAAAGTACAGAGCCGCAACAAAATCCTCAAGTCGCTTGCCGGCAGCTCTTGGGGAAAAGACAAAAAAACGTTGTTGGCAACATACAAGGCAATCGGCCGGCCGGTCCTAAATTATGCAGCCCCAATATGGTCGCCTGGATGCAGTGACACGCAGAAGAAGAAGCTTCAGACCTGTCAGAACACTGTACTCCGAACTATCACGGGATGCCTCTTGATGTCTCCAATCGAACACCTACATAGTGAGGTCCGTATGCTTCCGGTTAAGGAACACAACGAACTCCTCTCCAAGCAGTTTCTACTGGGATGTTTTCGTAGAAACCACCCCTGTAGTCGCCTGACTGTAGCGGAGCCGCCTCCTAGGAACATCAAGTGGTCTCTCCTTGACTACGTCGACGACATTAGACAGTACTCCGACCGGACTTCGGATACAACGAACTTCAGACAGGCACTGACCGCCATTCACAGTGGAGCCATCAACACCTTCACAGATTCCCTCTCAGTGAATGGCGTAATAGGAGTCAAACCACCACCCATAGCAGACATAGAGCTCGAGTTGCCTCGCGAAACCAGAGTGACCCTCGCGCAACTTCGTTCCGGATACTGTAGCAGGTTAAACTCCTACTTATCCAGAATAGACCCCGACATACTAAACACATGTCCTGCGTGCAATGAGTCTCCGCAAGACACTAACCATCTCTTTGCATGCCCAACAAACCCCACTCATCTAACACCCTTCTCAATATGGTCCGACCCCGTCGAAACAGCTCGTTTCCTGGGCCTCTCGTTAGATGACCTCGACGACAACGAATCTGGAATTTATCATCCAAACGGGGACTAGGTAACCGTTACAACAACAATATCTATTGTGCCCTCCCCTAAGTAATATCGACTCATCTAGCCCCAGCATGTTGATAAACTCCAATATTCTGCTGGGTGCTAGTGAAGCAAAACAATTCCTGTTTGGAAACATGAATCCCAGGGCCTTGATTCTGCGTCTGCAGACTGCTGTGCAGTTCATTAGCAGATGTTCTGGGGTTTCCGGCTCCATGTCACAGAACCGGCAGTTTGCAGAGGTGGCTAAGCCCATGTTGAAGACATGCCGGAATTTGTTCCTCGGGAGATTGATTACGACTTTAAACCGTTTGCGGTCGTAACCCCCCATTAGCAACCTGGCATGGCGCATGCCTTGAAGTTGTTGCCAACGTTTCTCCCTGCCTGCTCTTTCTTCCATTCGGAGCAGCTCTTTAATGGTATATGGACCAACCGCTATGCATGGTTCCGGTCCTACCATTTTTGTGGAGGCTGCAGAGCGGGCCAACTCGTCAGCCAGTTCGTTCCCAGCTATACCCCTGTGGCCAGGCACCCAAATAAGGTGCACTCGGTTTTGGTCTGATAGGCTGTTCAGCCGTTCTATACACTCCTGCACTTCTCATAGATGGCATTTCTTACGTTACCAAATTTGCAAACAGAATATAAAAATTTTTAATATATGTAAATAAAATTTCGAACCTCACCGAATATACATATGTGAGAATTGTGATATTTATTAAGAATTTATTCATATTTATTCTTATCCAAGAGATCTTTGGAGCAAAACTTTTAATAAAAGCCAGAGTAATATGTGCTTGAATTGCAGTGCCATCTATATTATTAAATTGATAACTTCAATATTCTTATATGTATAAAGCTTATGAAACTGATTGTTTTGGCAACACTAGAGAAAAGTAAATAATGTTTACACGGATACCCTGGTTCAGGTTGCAGACAGATGGCGATGAAAAAGAGTTGTTGGAACGAAATTGTCGGAGTGTCAAAGTATTGAAGAAAAATCGTGAACCAGTGAAAAATTTGATATAATCAAAGTTATTTAAAATACTTACACTGAATAATGTTATAATATAATGATTATAGTATTTAATGATATGAGTAAAGTGTATATATTCAATATATTTTGGAGTGTGTTGGCTAATGGGCGAAGTCACCAAGTGAAAATTTCAGTGAAGCAGATTAATTAGCTATAAAAATCAATATTAAATTAATATAAAAAATAACAATAAATAACGTGCAAAAGTGCTAAGCAAATAATTTACTATTATACCGGTTAAAGTCAATTCGTCGATTTTTCTACTCTGAAAAAATTGTTATAATTAACGAGCACCGCCCTTAAATAGTGTACCAAGTACCGAGTGTTGATGCGAATACATAAATAGAGTTCTTTGAATTTTTATTCAAACAATCTAGGACAATATATCTGGATTAACAACAATAATTTTTGGCATATCGGCGTAATGTTATTACATTAAAAGGCTGGGACTGTGCGAAATTGCTTTTCGATAAAAACCGAAAATTGTCTCCGGTAGGTACACACAAAAATTCATTCTACTTTTTGCTCCTCTTTTTATACTCTGTGCACATTCGCTCGTGTGCAATATGCGCTCCTGTTCCACAATTATGCTTGGTCGTACTCTCCACTCAATAAAGAGGGGATCTTCCTGCCTATAGATAGAAGAGTCCTTCGCCAATAAAGCCATATCTTTGGTTGGTGAATCTACAACAATTTTGAAAATTTTTTCCTTTGGCATACGTTTGGCCTTCCTGTTTCGATTTTTTATATCAACATATATATTGGTGATGGGTGGATAATGGATAGGGTGGAAAACCGTTCAGGCTCATTCGGTATGTTTTCGGTTTCACGAGAATACGAACACAATTCTTATGATTTGCGTTCTCAAATAACATTTAAACTCACCACACAATGCGAAAACTGGTTTTTCCGATTTAATGGTAAATAATTATTAATATAAACTAGTTTTCAGTTAAAAATTTTTAATTACTGTTTCATGATGAATTATAAAAATATATTCCTATTAGGAAAACACAATTTATGTTTTATACCCTTCTGAAATTAATAATATTTGTTTCATCCCTTAAATAGTTCCTCTTTTGCATATGAGAGCATTATTTTGCCGACTTCGGATGGGAGTTTCCATATTCACCTCCCTTGTTTTCGCGTCTTCCCAAATTCTACCTTCAAAAAAGTTTTTAATCTCCTTACATATAATTAAAAGCTATTTAATAAATATTATGTTTTTATATGGATAAAGTAAAATTTGGGCGTGGTTTATTGCATGTTCTATAAGTATATAGAAATTATAAATTAAATAATAATTATATACATTAAGTAGGTGCCAACATTTCAGCATAATACAAGTGTATATTAAAAACATTCAACTGTTTTTTGGATAAGGATCTGATAATATGAGACTGTGTGGGGTATAACTTTGGGAATTTTTTTTTTATTGTTTCTTATTTTCGTGTTAGTATACCAGTAAGAATTATTTACTTACATATATACTTTTAAGTTAAATAAAAACATATCTATATAATGGCACACGTTAGCATAAATTTTCTATCTATACAAACATATAGGTATATGCGGTCTCACATCGATGGTGGTGTGACAAACGATAATTCATTTGTCTTGCATTTCCTTTTGTGCCAATGACTTAACCTTTGCGTATATTATCAGAAAGGCGGTTATGGGTAGTGTTCATGGCTATGTTTACCAAACTACAGGTTGGTTGCAAAGTTTCTGCTATCACCAAGAAATAGCACTACTAGCTCCAAGTCACTACCAGCTTCCTCAAGTTGGTACATCTGTCGTGAGAACACACGCAAAGTTACAAGTCATTCTGTCAATTAATTCTTTGTTTACAAGCCATTTGAAGTTGACGTGTCAGTGAATTTTTTTAATATGGAAAAAATTTAAAATCGCACTGTGATTAGATTCTTTGTTTTGAAAGGTTTAAAAGCAAAGGAAATTCATGAAAAATTGTTAGAAGTGTATAGGGAGTCCTCATATTCAAAACGCACGGTTGAACTTTGGACAGGTGAATTTAAACGTGGTCGTACTAGGCTTGAAGCCGATCCACGCGAAGAACGACCACAAATCCCAGCCATACCAGAAATCATTAAGCAAGTTCATAATATTGTTAGTGAAGATCCAAGTTTGACTAAGCGTGAAATTGCTAATGCCATAGGCATCTCAGACGAACGAGTACTTCATATTTTACATGGAGAATTACATATGAAAAAGCTGTTTGGAAAGTTAGTGCCGCACACGTTAACAACTCACCAAAAACTGAATCGAAAAAAAATATTCAGGATAATTTGTACCGTATTCACCTGATTTGGCTCCCAGCATTTACTACCTCTTGAGAAACTTGAAACAATTCCTTCGCGATTTTCGTCGAATGAAAAAGCTATTAGAACTGTAGACGGGTATTTTGCAGAGATTCCAGTCATTATAGGAATGGCATAAAATTATTGGATGATCATTGGACTAAGTGTATTGAAATTAAGGAATATTATATTGAATAAAAAAATGTATTTCGTACCAAAAACAGTATTTCATTTCGAGCGCAGAAACTTTTAAACCAACCTGTATACACAAAAAAAAATAAAACACCACCTCACTCCTGGTAATGTAAGGTGATATTGGCAACACCACCACCAACAAAGTACTTTCCTTAAATTAATGTTTATATGCTACTTTTACTTAACGCAAACCTATTTCCATGTATGTACATATGTATGTATGTATGGACATTATTTCTCATGCCGTCTGTAACAAAGGCCTTTGGTAATTCTCATGGCTGTGTTTGAAGTTGATTAATATGTGGTCAGTAATACTAGTAAACGAATGTAATTTTTTTTATAGTATATGTATTCACATTATTCTCCATAAAATTTTTTTGCTCATATTAATATCACTTGTAAAATGCAATAATTCTTAAAATAATGGTCCCCCTAATCTAATAATTGTACATACAAATGTATTTGTTCTATGGCCTTATATTCACTTGAAGTGTGCACTCGGCAACAAGCAATCAGCAGCAAAGCCGGCATCAACAAATATATTCCAAAAACAAAATGTCCATGTATAAAGTATCTCTACCTATGTAAATTTGCCGATTATTTACAAATTTTATGAACGTACATCAGTATATAGTACATCATAGGTATATCGTACGTGTGTAGTGGTGTATGTCCACACAAATGCGTACAATTTTCATTTTTGTACACTTAAACTCTGATGACATTCTGTTTAAAAGGATTATTTCGTAAATTCCACGTTGAACGCGCATTATTTCATTAACGTGCTACATAGGTATATATGTACAGCTATTTGTACATGTACATATCTATATTAATTTTAGTTTTTATGTACTTCGTTACTCATTTGGCTTGTTGTCATTGTTTCTGAACATATACAAGTTAACTATTCTGCAAACCGCCGTAATTATGAGAGAAAACAGAGTTAACCAAATTTGCTTTTCCAATATCAAATATTTACATCCGAAAACAGTGTGCAGATTTCAGATAGGTAGTGGTTTTTAAGTACACGATGGGGTTTGTGCACATTTTAAAAAGGGCATTTTTATACTCTTGCAACTTGCAAGGATCAAACCCGGCGAGTTATCGAAAATCATGTATGTAGTATATGGGAGTTTGGGTAATTCGTGGACCAATTTCACATATTTTCGATATTAAACTATAGTATATCCAATATTATGCGTTCAGTTATACTTGTTAAGATATCTTACTCATGGTATAGTATTGACCCGATTTTATCTATTTTTGGCATTACTACATATTGTTTACAGATAAAGACGTTTTCTGTGTTTTATTAAGGTACCTCATATACTATCACCAATATATAATATAAATAGTAAAGCCAACCGAATGTTTGAAAATCCTTATATTAGTTATATGGAGTCTAGGGCAAGTCTTCACCCGATTTAGACACATAGATGCACCATTATTAGAAAAACACGCCCGCTCAATTTTATTAAGATAACTCCTATATTGGCCGATATATGGGTATAAAGCCAGTCGGAAGTTCGAAAACCTTTCTATTAGGTATATGGGGGCTAAGAGAAGTATTGACCCGATTCAATCCATATTTGATATACAGGCATAATATTATCTGGAAAAGATTTTCTCCGAATTTCAATTATATATCTCATACATTAAACGATAATTTCGGTAAAAAGTCAACCATCGACATAGGAGTCCACCTCTTCGGTCATATATCGAGCAGTTATGGCCCTATTTTGACAGATTTTAGACTTGAGATGGTATATATCAAAATCAATCTTGTTGCCAAGTTTTATTTCAATATATTCATTAGTGCTTGATTTATATACTAGAAGTTATGTGGAAAGTAAGCGTGGTTGTAATCCGATTTCGCCCATTTTTGCACTGTAACATAGGCAAGTCAGGATAATTTATTGGTTTTCGATTAATGGCGTTTTGTGGGCGTGGCATTGGTCCGATTACGCCCATCTACAATACCAACCTTCTTATGCTGCCAAGATATCTCAATTTTTACTTAAGTTATAGCTTGCACAGACGGACGGATGGACAGACCGACGAACAGACATTCACCTGGATTTCAACTCGTCTCTTCATCCTAATCATTTATGTACCTTATATTATATTTAACTTGATTAGTTTGAGCTGATACAATCAACCGTTAGGTGAACAGAACTATTATACTCTGTATTAACATGTTGCAAGAGTATACAAGTATTTGAAACGTTCTTTTCAAATTATAGTATGTTATTTTTAAAAGTATACACTATCCAAATATGCAAAAAAAAAAAAAACAAGTAAGGAAGGGCTAAGTTCGGATGTAACCGAACATTTTATACTCTCGCAAAGTCAAATGGTATACGCGTTTGAGATTTCTTTGTGGATTGGCTGATATTTTCGGTAGAAGGTCAACTATAGGCACTGGGGTCCACATATTTAGTACTTAGGGGCTTGAACAGTTTTGGTTCGATTTAGACAATTTTTGGTCACAAGGTGGCATACTTTAAACGTATTATTCACGCAAAGTTTTACCCCGATATAATCATTGTTGCTTGATATGCATAGTGGAAAGTGAAAGAATCAGATGGAATTGAAAATGGTGTTATATGGGAAATAGGCGTGGTTGTAGTCCGATTTCGCCCATTTTCGCACTATACCATAGAAATATGAAAATAACGTTAAGTACCGAATTTTGTTGAAATTGGATAAGCAGACCTCAAGATATGGGGTTTCACCTAAAAGTGGGCTGTGCCACGCCCACCGTCTAATTTTGAACGCGGTTCCCATAAAGTCATCTCATACCATCCCAGAGATAAAATTTAATGTCTCTGGAGTGTTTAGTGCTTGATTTATCGCGCTTTTAGTAGTTTTTAACAGTACCGTTATATGGGGAGTGGGCGGAGTTGCCACCCGATTTTAACTATTTTCACACCGTCAATAGAAGTACTAAAAACATTTGCTTCCAGTGAATTTTGTTAA